AGCCTTTGCCAGTGGCGACGCTTGTACGACAGCAGAAAGTCGCGACTGTACCCCTAACATTTATTTTCTTTTCTCCGGTGGTGTCACCCCCTGCTCTGTTCTCCCAGCACCCGACTTCTCAATCAAAAGTTAATTACGACGGAATTAAGAATTAATTGAAAGTCGGTGGTGCAGCGTTCTGCTTGTGGCTGGCTTTTCTGATGTGGTGCCTGCCTACAACTTAGCTGCTGCTGCTACTGCTTCAGTGATTGAGCCTGACACAGCACTAACAGGCAATCACTGCAGTGCACAGTGGAGGCCATAAAGGCGCCATAGTTTATTGGCCTTCAGTGTACCACCACCACCACCACCACTACCGCTGCAAACTCAGCTCAACTAACTCCAATCGCCGATGAGGATGAGGAGATGCTGATGCGAACAAAGAAAGAAGGAAAGAAAAGAGGGGGCACACTGCCGACAAAGAAAAGTGCACATACGGCACTTCAGGCTGTGTCGTACAATGCGAGAATTGGCTACAGTCATGCTGGTGAGTTGCCTTGCTTTGAGGGGTCGGCAGAGGGAAGGAAAGAATGAAAGAAGAATGGAGAAAAGGGGAAGGCATCATTTATTGCCCATTCAGTGAGCACCACTGCCAACAACAGCACACAATGCTCATTTGCCACTTTGCAGTGCAGTGCATCTTCTTCCCAAATGCAATCAGAGTCTCATTCTCATTCTGCTATTTTTCTTATCTCCCCAATTCCTCATTTAGAGAATCATTTATGCTGCAATGCTTTTGTAGGCACGTTGCTAGTGTTCACTTCTGAAGAAATGCAATTCTGTTTCATTGCTGAAGATTCTTTTAGCGACTTCTTCTTCTTTTTCTTTTCCAGTTCAAGGAAGAGGAGTGGTGGCAGGGTGAAAATTATTATAATGACAAGCAAGTGCAATGATAATAAAGCCATCAAGGGAGAACTTGGCTGCCAGCAAAGTGTCCTGGCAGAAAGTTGCTGCCATTGCATTCGAATCATTCGCCTGCTAATCGCCACAATGAGGTGGCCACCGTCAGTGGCAGTCACCGATTGGCTGCTCGGTCGCAGGGCGGTCCTTCGGAGGTGCTGGCCACCAATGGCAGATGGGCGACAGTGCAGTGCAGCACAGGCAGAAGTCCTTTTAGTTCGTGTAATCAAGTGACTTCAATAGCAGCAACACTGGGGACAAACTCTGTATATAGTAGTGACAGACTGGCGCATTCAGTCTCATTCACAGCGCAGCCTGCAGCCCGTTCAGCCGATCATCGAGCCTTCAGTCTTTTTGCCATCTTCTTCTTTGTCTTCCCTTGCAAACTTTACTCTTCAGGCACTCTCTGATTCGACTCTGTGAATCGCAAGCGCTGAGCATCCCTGCCGCCTGTGTTCTGCATTCTCTCATCATCGAGCCTACTTTCAGCACACACACGCACACATTCTCACTTCCATCATCCGCCATCAGCATCTGCTAGGAAAGTACATCCGCCCAGCAGCACTACACTGACTCTGCTCCAATGCATCTGGTCTCATCAGGCTCGCCCACCTCGATTGGCGCCCACTCGACGACACTGAGCTCTGAGAAGCAGTACCACCAGCAGCACCATCAGCACCATCAGCACAACCACCAGCACCATCATCATCAGCAGGCCATGAAGCGAAGTCTGGGCATGCACCACTCGGCCAAGCACTTTGCCGATGACGACCTCAAGCAGCACCTTTCCTCGGAGTTGAAGAAGCACAAAGGTAAGTGTCTTGACCGTTATTAGCGCCTTTCAGGTTGCTGCTGCTGCTGTTTATTATTTGCTGCCTGCTCAATTTTGAAGTCAATTAGATAGACAGTCAATCAGTCAGTCAATTCGCATTCACACAATTTGCACTTTTGCAGCCAGGCACGATTGTACTCATCGGCGAGCACCAATCATTGGCGTTCATTAGCTATTTTCACGTTGAGCCTCTGATTTTGTTTGATTTGGAGAGTGGAAAGAGAGGTAATCACACTTACATAAGTCCACCGACACAAGTCACACTTTTGTTCCTGAGCGCACCATTGTTTGTCTGCGTGCGTTTGTCATGAATACTTCTCTCGTTGGGTTGTGCAAACACTGGGCACAAAATGCCTGCGGACAGGCAGACAGGCAGGCAGCAGGCGTCAGTGGCCGAGCTGCTGCTGCTGCTGTCGTTTCTGTTGTTTGCTCATTAAAAAATCAATAAGTGAAGCCACCATAAAGTGACTTAGTGAGTGAGTGAGTCTGTCGCGAGTCGAATGGAATTCCAGCATCTCCAGGCAAAGGCAAATGCATCCATTTTATTCCATCAGCAGCGCTTTTTGGCATCTTCATTGCACTTTATTGCACTTAAATGCACACAGGCGGCAAGCGTTCACAGGCACAAACACACTGGCCACCACCACCACTACCTTCATTATGATGATCACCTTTCCTCGCCGATTGCAGCTGATGCTGATGCAGCAGCAGCGGCCTGTGATCTGGCATCATCTCCCGCTGCTGCTGCTGCTGGTCGCCGTGCTGTGTTCGGCATCATCATCGAATCGTCATTTGTTTAATGACACACAGCTGAGATAAAATCTCGCGCTAAGAGATCCAATAAAAAAAGGAGAAAGAAAGAGGGGAAAAGCTGAGCAACTCTGCTGAAAACTCGTTTTCATCATCTCCCACACTTCTTCTGTAGTGAACGTGTGTGTGTGTGTGTATGTTTGAAATTATTTAGCGATTATTATTGAGCCAGACACACAGTGTGTTGACGAGTGACGATGTCTTTCCCGATCTCGCTCCCCTCATGTGTTGCCTCTGAGCATTAAGACATTTACACCTGTCTAAATAGATTTCCCTTCTCTTCCTCCTCCTCGACTCACACCTTTTATTCTTTCTTCTTCTTCTGCTGCTGCTAAGACTGATTGCAGAAAAAGACGGTGTGCACAAAGCAAACACACATTGAGCTCTTTCTGCTGCCTTTATGACACATCTCTTTTTCTTCTTCCTTTTTCGAGGAAAAATAGCAGCAGCGTAGATTCTTCATCTCCTGCACCCGCTGCCCTTTTCCTGCTGCACTTTTCTGCTACTATCCATTTATTTGTTTTTAATTACGCCAAATGTAAAAAGGCACTCGTTCATTTGCTGTTGGTGAGCACTAGTGAACTTCAATGAAAAGTGGCGGCAATCTTTCAGCACTAAGCACATTAATTGAACAGCTTTCGATTCTTTCACTCTCCCTCTTGCCGACACCAATTAAGTGCAACACAAGAGTTTCTTTTTCAGCTGTTGATGCCATTTAATTGCCAATTGCCCCCTGTCTCTGTTTATGAGCACTAATCGAATTAGAATTTAGACACCTGACTGGGAGGAAAGGTTGGGCCACGGTCCTTCTGGCCACCTTCAGAGTGAAAGTGATCTTGCTGCCCTTGCTGACTTTTTACAACCATTTGCAGCGGGTGAATTGAATTGTAAAACAATTGACCAATTTTCAATTTGGTGCCTGCTGTTGTTGTTTTTGTTGCTGTTGCTTCTCCTTCAAACTGGCTAGATCAAGTTGCCAAGGGTCCTGTCTCTGATTGTATAATTACCCAAAGTCAAGTTAGGCCTAGGAGGAACGCACGAGGACGACACACTCTAGGCCTGCTGCTGCCACACCTAGCTTTGAAAGAGGAGGACAAGGACGATGAGGACAAGCTACAGCGTTTGTAGCAAAAACTGAAACTCTTTGCCAACACTACTGTCCACTAGTGATCACTTGGGTGGCATTTGGTCTAGCTCTGCCTACTGTAACTGCTTGGCTTCTTCTTCCTCTTCTACCGAGCAAAAACTTCGTTGGAGCCGCACAGTAGGTCGCCCACAACTACTACCTCCTTATCGATCACCGAGTAGTGTGCCAAATGACTCGGTGCTTCTGCTTCTTCTGCAGTTCAGTGACAGTGACTCAGTTGCAGTTGGTCCTCATTGTCAACCTCATTGCCTACCTGTCTCAATTGGTATTTCACTTATTTAAATTTATTATACGAACCTTGTAATTGATGTAGTGTGTGTGTGCTGCCTGCACTGTGCTCACCAGGTAGAACACTGAATGGCACGCCGCTGCAAATTAACTTGTTTCCTCCTCAAGTGAAGTATTAGTAGTAGTGGTAGTGGACTGCACGCAATGAGCAGTATTTGTTTAACTCCTGCCTGACTGCAATTGAAATGTCAATGAGAGCGACTGAGTTGTCACACTGTCCCCTCTCTCATTCTCTTTGACAAGCTCATCCGTCAAATGAATCCTCGCCTTAGATCGCCCGTCGCAGCTGGTCTGGCGGTGGTAGTGCACTGTCTTCAGTGCCGCCTCTGGCCTCCACCGATGTCACACACATTTTGACTGTGTAATTAATCGCATTGACAGTGTCTCTGTCTCTGTCTGTTTGTGTGTGTGCTGAACAGCCACTAAGTGGTGGTGATGGTACTCTGACCCCCAAGAGAAGCACAACTAATTTGACGACAATTACACAGTCTGTTGATGTGCTGGTGGCTGACGCCGGAAATGGCACGCTCGTGGCTCGTGCTGCAAAGTTTTCTTACGGCAGCGAAATGGACATCGCAATCATCGGCATCTTTGCTTGTCACAAACACACACACACTCAACCACTAGTATGGCACATCTCTTCAGACATTTCTCGCTCTCGCTATTTTCAGTTATCTAATGATCGCATCTTTAAAGCCCAGACTAAAATGGCTTAGCTGACAGCTCGCTGACAGGCTCGCTTTTAAGTTTGGAAAGGCACACGATTAGCAGCAATTAAGCAGTGGCTGCACTTTGCCACTGAAAGCGACACTGTCCAATGTGCTCTACTGTTAGCACCCACTTTTCATCAACTCTAATCGGTTATCGTCTTCTTTTTCTCTTTTTCTACCCTCCACAGCTGCTCCAACGAGCCATTCTTCGCATCGAGCCGCTGTGGCGGCCGCTGCTGCTGCTGCAGCCGCCGTCGCCGATCACGAGCACGACATGCTAAACAGCCCTAACGGCGGTTCTGGCGTTGGTGGCGGTGACCCAAACAGCAATGCCTCCCTGCGTCGCTACCGAACTGCCTTCACGCGCGAGCAGCTGACGCTGCTGGAGAAGGAATTCTGCCGCGAGAACTACGTCTCTCGACCGAGACGATGCGAACTAGCGGCGGCACTCAATTTGCCCGAAAGTACCATTAAGGTGAGTAGAGAGTATAGACTGACTGACTGAATGGCTGCTAATGGACGGCGATGAAAAGAGGATAGCCTATAAATAGGACACAGGCTGATGCTGTCAGATGATGCTCAGACATGATATCAGAGATGCCTATGGTATGTCTCTGGCCTGCTGACTGGTGTGGTCACATTAGAGCTGGTGGGTGTCAGATAAAATGAAAGTGCTGAAATGAAATGAAATAAAAAAATGCAGTCATCACCTCTCTCCATTGTTCTCGCTTCCAATCCACTAAGCACAATTCTCTCTTCTCTTTTCCATTCTCCCATTCCTCTGCTCTGTTATAGGTCTGGTTTCAGAATCGGCGCATGAAGGACAAGCGCCAGCGAATGGCGCTCACATGGCCGTACGCCAATCCGCATCTGGCGGCGTACATGTTCGCCGCAGCGGCTACCGCCGCCGCCTACGGCCAACCAGCGGCCATGTACTGGAACCGGGCGGCAACTATGGCCGCTGCTGCCGCCACTGCCTCGCCCACAGGGGCGGCGGCCACTTCAGCCCCTGGTTCAGCTGGTTCTCCAGGAGGAGGAGGAGGAGGTAGCGGTAATGGTAATGGAGTGTACCTGGGTAGCCCCGTCGGCCACCAGTACCACTCACATCATCACCAGCAGCAGCATCAGCTGGGCGCCATTCGTCACCCCACAGCTGGCGCAGCTGCTCCAGGTGACTTTTCGCTGAATGGCAGTTTTGGCACCGGTGGCACTGCCCATCTTCCTGAAAGTTCTGCAGCCATCTCCGCTGCCATGCTAGACAGTGCTCTTGCCAGTGCTGGCAATGGACGACACAGCGGCTCAGGCGGTTCGGTGTCCTCCTCGGTGTCGGTCGCTTCCGCCGGAGGGTGCTGTGCCTCCCCTCCACTTCCTCCCACTTCGTCGCACTCTCTCTGTCTCAGCTGTCCCCCGCTGTCATCCTCTGGTTCTCCTCCACTACTGAACAACAACAACAGCAACTCTTCTCCACTGTTGGCCACTGTCCACTCTCCGAGTGCTCTCTTCTGTCCGAGTAAGCAGCACCAGCTCTCGGCTTCATCCTCCCCTGAACATCACCAACAGCATCATCATCATCAACAGCAGCAGCAGTCGCAATTCAGCAGCAGCAACAACAACAACAACAAGAAACCGCTCTTTCAGCCCTACAAAAATGACATTGAGTAATCGCTTTGTGCTACTACTACAGAGCTAACCTGAATTTGAGAGAATCTAGTCTACCACATCGTTCACCTTCAATCTTGCAATTGCTGCACTGTGCTGCTCCATGTTTAGTTGCCCTATGATGATGATGATGCCATTGATTGCACACATCTTGCATACGTACACGCCGTACAAAGACCAAACAGTTTGTTCGTTTGTGTTTACTGAACCACACACACCCATACTTTAATATAGCAATTTTCACTCTTCTTTTATTCTTAGCACATCTTTACTTGTATTCCCTTAGAGTAGCAATTTTAGAGTACAGCATCAACTTGTAAATAAAATAAACAATAGTTATCTCTATCACTATCAAAACTTGATCAACTTTTGTGTACATGTAAACAATAATAAAAAATTTAAAAACAATTAATCAGCATTATTAAATCAGGTTGCCCTCTAAATTAGCTGCTTAACTTTTAATTATAATAATGAAATGCTGACTGAACTGGCTCAGAGCATTCAGTGTTTGCAGATCAGGTGAACAAGAAAGGTAAACAAAAAAGTAAAAAGCAAAACGTCAAAGTTGGTGCAACTGCATCGGCTGCCAAAGTGCACTACTTCTGCTCGTTGGGCGCCCCCTTGGCGTCGTCAGCCATTGAGACCTTGCCCTGCTGCTCCTTCTGCTCTGATTGCTTCAGCTCCTGAATCTTCTTCTTCTTCAAGTTCTGCAGTCGCTTGTGGACCACCTCGATGGACTCTGAGCTGGCCTGCGTCTTGAGGGCGTTCTCTGCAGCCGCCGCCGCCGCTTCGGCCTGTCGACGAGCCGTCTCCTTCTCCTGCTCTTCCAGCAGCTTCTTGATCATCTCCTCGCGCTCCTTGGCCGTCGCATCGGGCACCTGTCCCTTGCCCAGTGACTCCTTCGAGGCGTCTCGGCGGTACTTGGAGAAGTCCTCAAAGCTGCTCGTCGACGTGGTTGACTTCGTTGACTTGCTCTCCTTTGAGTTGCTCAGCGAGCCGCTGCCATCATCCTTGGGCTGCTCATTGCTCGGTGGCTGCTGTTTTTCCGGATTGTCAGACATCGTTTGTGAGTGTGTGTGTTGATGGGTGTTAGAGTCACTTGATAGAGGAGTTGACTTGGGAAACCTGACAAAGAAAGCTTGCTTGCTAGAAATTGAAAAGCACACTGAAATGACTGCTCACTGTTCAGTGCGTCAGCTTTTGAGTTGAAAAGCACCGTCATCGAATTAAAAGCTCGAAAACAACAGTCACATTAGTTTGTAAACGGATTTATTGGTTGTCTAAAAGCACCACACAGTGGTAGTATATTACATGTCATTTTGTGCAAATAATAATTGGGCTTTGTACAGAGAGCAGCGTTGTGTGATAATCACAACAGTCGATATACAATGGGGGGTGTGTATATTTTGGTAATCAGAATGTGTTTGTGTGAGGGTTTGTATAAAATGTACAGGTATTTCGAAAGAAGTCGAAGATTAGTCAAAGCAGAAGGAGTTAGCAAGCGTAGTGGTTAGGATACGTCAATGCAGTCGAAACGAGTTGAGAAGGTACGTCGGCGAGAAGTGAGAGATAGGTCAAGCTGCACTGTCAAATTGGTAAGCTGACTGACTGTTTGAGTAGACTGTTTAGCTTTTGTCGTCATGTCTCAGTCAGGAATGTCCAGACGAGGACTGTTCGGCAGGACGACCGCATTCGGCTGCTGCGTGATCACCTTCTTCAGCTTGCTGGGCACCTTTTTCCCGTCCTGAACGTCGTAATCGGATCCGGCCGACGTCCCATTGGTCACCGTCACCGCCGTCAGATTGGTCCGCTCATTTTGCTGACCGTTTTGGTGGTGATGGCCGCCCGACCCGCCCCAGCTGTTCAGCGTAAAGTTGTAGCTGATGTTGGCGTACTCGCGCAGACACGGACAGAGGACGAGGAGAAAGGAGCAGAAGTCCTTGCGCATGCCGAACCACCCTAACGGAAAAAAGTGAGTTTATAATATCGAACCAAAACAATGAACCACTTACAGAGATTGCCCCCTTTCGAGCTGAATGACATGCAGATGAGGATGATCAGCGTAAAGTAGAGCGGCACAAAGACGGAGAAGTAGTCCATCTCAAAGTGGTAGGAGGCGGCGGAGAAGAAGGGCAACGGCGTGCTCAGCTGACTGCCCGTGGCAGGGTTCAGCGAGGCGACGGCGTGCGGTGATATGTGCGGCGAGTAGAACTGTATCATGCCGGTGAAGGCGGGGGGCGTGTCCGCCGAGTGCAAGTGTGGATTGGGGTGATCACCGCCGGTGATTCCAGCACCAATGTGAGAATTACCGTTTCGGGCGTTTAGGTGCGCCACCGAGTCGAGCTTCGAGGAGAGAAGGACGAAGAAGACGAGCAGAGGGAGGACGATGAGCGTGTAGGCGAGCGCAGAGTAGAAGCTCGCTCGGCGCTGCTCCGCCGACACCTCCGGCGTGCGAAAGAGAATGACGGCGAAGATGAGCGCGTAGAGGACGCCGATGATGGCGAGACAGAGGAGGATCCACAGCGGCACGAAGACCACCACCCAGCTCCATGTGATGAAGTCGTCCAGGCGGATGGGCACGAAGATGAACTGCAGGAGGTTGAGTGAGCAGATGAACTCAAACTCAAAGTCGCGCTCATTCTTCAGCGCCCAAATGGCGACGGCGATGGAGAGCAGGGAGACGAAAATGAGGGGTACGAAAGCGAGCGTCCAGAAGTGCCGATTTGACTCTAGTTTGTCGCAGACGAGCAGCTCGAACATGAGCAGGAGGAGCTGCAGTGAGAGGGCGATTAGCATTGACTTGAAGTGCGTGTAGGAGCTCTCCGAGAGGCGGTACTCGGGGTTGCAGATCCACACGAGGACGCCGGTGAAGGCGCCCAGAATGACCAGCGACTTCCAGACCCATAGCGGGAGGAAGACGAGCCACCAGGAGATGAGCACCGTCCGGTCCAGTCGCAGGGCAAAGAGGATGAAGAAACAGAGGAGAGAGGTGTAGACGACGAATTTACTGGGGAGGAGCAGATGTGTTAGAATGATCATTATCAGCATCACCATCACTGTTATAGACATACCTCGAGTTGAAATCTTGAAACACCCGTTGGCAGTTCATCTCGAGGCCGTGAACTGAATTCTCTCTGTCCTACTTTCTCAGCTTTCTAAGATGAAGCTGACTTTACTCGCTCTCACTCTCGCTCTCTCAGTAAAAACGATCTAAATACCGATTCCGAAACATATGGTCGAACTAAAAGTGCACTATCAGCGGTGCATAGTTTGCAGATAAATATAACAGACGACGAAGTGGCGGTGATGATGATGATAGTGCACTGATGGTGCTGATCCTCCTGATGATCCTCAGGACTCAATTATTGTCTGGGTGAACATTCTTCAGCTACCAGAGGAGTCATCAAAAAGCAGACATCATTTTCAGCAACAGCAGCAACCGCAACGCACTTATCTGACGACTGGAGAAACCCAAACACAAGGAAATAATATCACTCGCAGTATCAACGATTGGCGACACATAACACCGAGCCGCGGAGCACCAGACTCAAGCACACACAGAGAAACAGAAACAGAGACAGCCGCCGAAGGTGCTAGGTGAGATCCAGATTGTTTCTGTTTACACAATTTAGAGAGCGAGAGAGAGAGAGGGAGCAAGGATCCACAGTGGAAGCAGTCTGAGCAGACAGACAGACAGACAGACTGATGTATCCGCGGATATAATAGATGGCGCTGCAGTGCTGGCGATCATTCGAGGATTTTTGCTGTGGCAGAAAAAAAGAGGGGTTCCTGCAATTGAGCTGCAAGTTATCTCTCTTTATCAGGGAAATCATAAATTGATGATGATGATGGTGATGTTGACAAGAGGATGCGTTGGCCAAAGGATGTGTCTTCTACTACAGCAATGCCCAAAGCTCTCACTGCATGGAGTGGTCGACCTCGAGAGCCAATGAGCTGCTGTACGACTACCCGCAAACAACAACAGCAGCAGCTTTCAGTGACCGAGTGCAATACGCCGCCTGTCATTTCATTCTTTCCTTTTCACTGGTAATTTGTTATCGAGATTATTGAGACAGTATGTATGTACATTAGATAAAGAAGACTACTACTAGTGCTGATTGACGATAGAGGAAGAGAGTGAGAAAGAGAGATAGCTGCAGTTTACTGAGATGATGAGCTGATGTCCTCAAGGAACGCCACTTCTCTCAGCACTGTACTGTCCTTTTCCTCATCCTCTTCATCCTCTTTTCCTCAATCAACCAGTGTTTTAGTGTATCACAAAAGATTTGGTGAGTCCTGTGGAATGTGCTCCGATCCTCTTTTACTTTAGTCAACATGTTCATGTTGAAACTGCGCCTCATTCCACATGTGCAACACCTGCTCTTTTGCCCGACGGAAAAGGTCAGAGCGGGCAAAGTAGTAGGCGGCGACAAGGAGGCAGAAGGCCCAGGCACTGATTAGCGTGTAGTTCAGACTGGTGACCGGAATGCTGGAGAGGGGGCCTAGAAGGTCCTCCTCGGTGACCACCACCTCGCCGACTGGATCGAGCTGCGTAAGGCGCTTCAGGTACTCCACCAGATTTTCCACCGTCACCTCAGAGTGGTTGTACCTCGACACTAGCTTGTTGTTGTGAAAGAGGTACGCACTGGGCACGCCCACCACGCCGTAGCGCATTGTCGTTCTAAAATGAGGATGAAAAGGATTTGATCAGTTTGTCAGCTAAAGAAGAAAAAATTCTCAATTAGATTACCCGTAGACGGTGTAGGCGTCAATGGCGAGAATGTTCAGCTGTGGGTAGAGGCGGCCAATGGCGTTAAAGTGCGCCGCCGCCTTTGCCGTAAAGGGACACCAGTCGAGGTAGAAGACCAGCAGGGTGCACTGACCCGGCGCAGAAGTGGTTGAGGTAGGTGTAGTGGGCGTCATGCCCGGGCCCGCATCCGCCGCCATGTTCTCCCCCGAAACGAGGCTCTCGATGAAGGAGCCAGAGGGGGAGCTGCCCTGCTCTTCGTCCGCCGGCGCAATGCTGGTGGCCACCGTAACCGCGTCGGCAGTGGCCAGACTGACAGCACCGCTGATGACCACAGTAGCGCTCATCTCCAGCGAGCTGGGCATAACCTTCAGTTGGAGGTAGTTGGAGATGGTGCTCACATTTACCAGAACCAGGGAGGCCGTCTGTGAAGATGATTAAATTGATCAAATTGATTAATACATCATCAGTCAGTTAGTTCAATAGTTGTAATCGGTTGTGCAATAGTAGTCGGTGCTGATATTTTTCCCTACCCTGCAGTTGTTGCATGATATTACAGTTCACCATCACCACTTGCGTCACTCTTCACTCACATTGCATATAAATTCAGTGTACAGGAAGAGCAGTAGCAGTACCTCCTGATGATGATCTGCTGGGTCAAGGTCAGCATGAGTCGATCAGAGCTACTAATACTACTAACACACTGTCCACCAGTCTACTAGCACATCCGGCGTAAATAAGCGGCGGCGGCTGCGACAGTGGTTTTTCTTTTTTCCGTTCGACACACATGCATCGAGTGCTGTCACCAGCTATCATCATCATCAGAGAGTGCGTTTTCACTGTCTCAGTTTCACTCACTGTGAGTCTGCCAATCTGGCCTGCACTGGCACTGACTGCCTTCGTCCAACAAACTGCCTGCACTGTAGACACAGAGAAAGTGCACTGGAAGAAAGAAAGCAAATGGAGAGCACTTCATCACCAGCAATAGTATCCTGCAGTGCCTGCAGCAGCAGAAACTGCCTCGAGGCACTGCAACACCTCTCGCACTCACCATGCAACCATCGCTAGTTAGTTAGCTAGTTATACACACGCACAACTTTGCAGATTAACGAAGGAAAGAAGAAGATGAAGATGAAGATGAAAAGGCAGGCAAAGGAAAGGAAGGTGGGGAAAAGTGAAAGGGGAGGGGGAATGGAAAAAGTACAGTCTGCCTTTCGGCAGATTGCTGCCTGTCAAAGAGAGTACGATTTTTCTCTGCGCACCTCGCTCTTCATTCCCTTTCCACTAAAACACACACACAAACACTGAAGAGCAAAGGAATGTGGCCACCAGGAGCACCACTACTACCACCACCACTGCCATCACTTCAACGCAAACAAAAGTTCAGTAACAGTAGCACTGGCGCCTTATCGCCTCTCCTCCTTGCTCTTCACCGTCCAGTGTCAGAGCCTTCGACTTGAACAGTGGAAGGCGTACAGACACAGGCTGAGGCAGTCTTTAGTTACCTAAACCGCCAATTTAGAAGCAGCCTGCAGCCGCTTCAGTACGCAACAGCTTGGCGTGCTTCAGCTGCTGCAGTTGCCTCAAAGAGGTGCTTCTTCTGCCGCCGCCGTCGCCGTTCCCTTCAAACAGCCAACAAATCTCGCAGAGGAGAGCAAAGTCGAAGAAGAAGAAGAGATCCTAAAGTGCCCCTCGATCTGCACTGCACAGCTCTCAGCTGCTGCTACTGCAGAGTACATGCAATGGTCGCTGTGGATTTTGCTGTCGCCGCTGTTCCATCTCCTCTAATCGAGTACATTTTTGAGAAGGAGAAAGATCGAGCATGAGTCTGCTGAGGGCGCCATCGGCAAAGCTGCTGCTGATGCTGCCACTGCTGATACCCGTCGCTGCAGCAGCTATCAACGGCAGACGCTAGCTACTAAATGATTAGCAGTGTGCACACACACACAAACACACTTAGCTCGATCCTCAAAGCCTGCAGTTCACAGTAGAGGCAAAAAGAGAGCTCACTTTCTCACTCTCATTCAGCGTCTGAGATCAGTCAGTGAGTGAGTCGTACTCATCGACCACGACACTTTCGTTTCTTGATACTAATCGAGAGCAGCAGCAGCAGCAGAGGCAGTAGTTATCGGAAAGCAAAGCACACACACAACCACCACAAACGCCAGAAAGGTACACTCGAGGATTGGCGACACTGCGGCGACACTACGACGACAACCACAGCTACGGCCACCACCAACTGACAGCACATCAGCAGTGCTGTAGTATCGACAGATCGTCACCACCGACTACCACCCCAGCACCATCAGTCAGTTTGTGAGTGGTAGCCAGCCAGTGTACAACAACCACTGCACACACACACATTCACTCCCAGTAATCATCGGTCTTTGGCAGCAGTGGAGGTGACAGTGGCTGTACCACCGTCGATGTGTGTTACATAACGACGACATCGACGTCCATCGTCCAAGACATGATTGCTGATGTACGACAGCAGCACTGCAGCACTGCACCGATAATCGCCCAAAGTGTAGCACTGTTGGTGACAACTGCAAGCACATTGCAGCGAGTGCCCCCTTCTCTCAGTGCTGATCACTGATGACTGTCTCATTGTCGCATCGGCATCGGCATCAGCATTAGCATCAGCTTCAGCCCCAGCGGCATTAATCGACTTTTTGATGTGAAGCACACTAACATTAACACAGCGACCAACCAGCAATAGACACATTTGCCACTGGCAGCAGCAGGCACTTTTTGTTTATCCCCGATCAGCAGCAGCAGCAGCCTGTCCATGTGCTCGTCGTAGGACAGGCACTGGAAGCAGCATTGGAAGTAGTAGGAGCAGCAGTTCCCTCGCTCTATCTTTCACCAGGCTTCTCTCTCTCTCCTTCTTCTCCAGTGCGCCCGCGCCGTCACTGCGAGTGCTCCTGAGCAAGTGAACACACCACCACCACGACCACCACTACTTCCACGACCAACACACAACATACACAAACTCTCTGAAAGAGAGAAGAGAGAAAGACTCCACGCTCCACGCTCTCGCTTTTTCTCAGCGTTTCCGAGACGAACCAGTCAGCACCGTCCGCAGGCAGTGATCGTAATTCTCCTGGCGAGTGGCTGCAATTTTGTTTCTCTTTCTTGCTCTTTCTTTCTCTCTTCTGGATCATCATCATCATCATCCGATTCTCTGTTGCTCTCAGTGCCCAACAAATCGAACATTCAGTGTGCCTAGTGCCGAGTGTGCGTGTGTAGTGTCCAGCAGCATCAGCAGCATCAGTAGCGTCAGTAGGAGAGCACCTACCACCACTGATCAGCGAGCAGCACTAGCATCATAAGCAGCAGCACCAGCAGCACCACCACCCGACAATCTAATCACCGAGTGTCCAGCGGACCACGTCCCCTACTACACCGTTACAGCAGCCAATGTAGTGTGTACTTTCACTTTGTCCGATAAGGTAGCCAGCACTCTCTGCTCCCTCACAGCCTGCCAGTGCCTGCCTGGCAGTCCATCCATCCACAATTTGATAATATTGTTTCAGGCGGCTGAACCAGACCAACTCCAACAGCAGCAGTCCTGCACAACCACTGCTGGCGCAGTGCACCAGTTGTCCACGGGAGCAGAGTTGTGGCAGAGTTTATCACAGCAGCACAAGCACCACCACCATCACCACGACCATCGCCGTCGTCGCCGCCATCGCCACCACTCTCTCTGTCTCAACTCGTCGTAACCAGTTCACACACTCACTCACTCACAAACAGTGCTGTAAGAGAGGAGTGTGAGGCTCAGACCAGTGTGTACTGCGACAAATCAGCTACTCAAAGCAAAGACTGCCCACTGAGTGCCTGCAAAGACACACCACACACCACACACACACTGCACAAGTCATCTTCATCTTCGACGACGACAACGACAGCGACAAAAGCACAGAAGCAAAACAACAACAACAAAGCCAACGGCCTTCGAAAATTAGCTGTAGCAGTAGTGGTGGTGGTAGCACCTTCTTCAGACACTTCACTCAACCCTTTTGGGAACCCTTCAGCACAACTCTGACCACCATCTCCATCACTTTCCATCATAACATCAACATCATCAGTGCGCATCACCATCATCACCAACACCATCATCCGTAGAAGTACATCAGTTCTCATCAGTGCACCGAAGAGCACATCGAGGGACACCGCATCCCAAAGGTATGCTCCAGCAGAACACAGCAACAACAACACAACAACAGCAGCCGTACAACTCTTACACTAGAGCGAGCAAACGAGCAGTCGCGCGTCCCTTTCGCTTTCGCTTTTCCTCTGCCTCCTTTCCTCGCATCCAAATACCTTCTCCCAAAACCAGATCCATCCCCTCAAAAAGTACATCAACATTAGTCACTGTAGGAAAAGGGAAAAGAAGAAGAAGAAGAACGCAGTAGACAGCAGCTGAGAGCACAGACAGACACTAGAGACTTTATATTCCAAGCAGTAGCAGCAGCAGCTTTATCAGCACTCGTTAGCGGAGAGCAGGCACCAGTTGGCTGAGTTGAGCTGTTGCCGTACAACCACCACCAGCAAAAGCGCCAGCAACCAGTTCGCAAGACAGCAAAGGTTGTGGCGGAAGGATGCTCATCTTGGTGGTGGTGGTGGTGGTGGTGGTGGTGGTGCCTTACACCATTCAGATGGCGAAAGAGCAAACCTGAAAGATGTACAGCACTAACAGGCTCACTGTGAGTTCGCCGTTTTGTTTGCTACTCACTTGCGCTGGGTGCCACAGTCTATGTACTCCTCAGCGACAGTAAACAGGCTCTCCTCTTCAATAAGGCGCCGCGCCGTCGTCGCCACATTGAAGATGACATTTAGACTGAACACACACACATCGAACAAGAAAGAGAAAGAGAGAGAAAGCGACAGAGTAGCACATGCTTGTGTTGTTGTCGTGCTGTACGGTACTGTCGATTCCGCCGTCGTTGACGCCGCTGCCGCACTTGCTGCTGCTGCGAATGAGTAACTTTTGGGCGCGCGGTAACTCCAAGGCGAAAAAGAGAGAGAAAGACGGCACTCTTGAACATCACCCCCAGAGGAGACAAATATAATCCAATATAAAAGCAAAGGCGAAAAGGCGCCCATTTCGTATGCCGCCCGACTTTCCCGCGTCTTTCGCCTTCCCCATTCCCTCCCTTCCCCCGTGCTCTCTTGTGATCGCTCTCTTCCGACTAGCAACAATCGACAATTTGTACGCTTCCTCCCTTTTCACTGTCCCCTCTCAGCTGCGACCAGCGCAGAAGCAGTGCTGCTTGTTTTTGTTGTCGTAGTCGTGAATGCGAGAAGGAAACCCAAAGCCCGAAACGGTCTGCAAACGAAACAAAACAGTCTTGAAGGGAGGAAGAAAATGGCGTCAACGATGGCAGCGGCAGCGGCGGTGACTCTTTTTTTCTGCTTTGCGCCGCCGTTGATCTTTCCAAAACACACACCAAACACACACACACACACCGAACACATAACACATAGGCGGAAAGGAAAAGGGGGGCCATCCATCCATCTACGCCATCTTCATCTGCGCTCTCCCGAGTGCACAATAACACTAACACTAACTCACCTAGCACATCTCAGCAGCAGCACCACCATTACCGCCACTAGCAATGCTGCTATGTACTCGATTATTTATGATCACCACCATCCTCTACCACCAGCACTCTCCACCACCGTCAGTCGGTTTGCTGAAGAACGCAGCAATCGACATTGTGGCAGCAGTGTACGAGTAGTGGTCGTCGTGGTCGGCATGGTGGTGGTGG